TATAACGGTAACGGCAATACAAATTTTTCGTAACGAAAAAGTAACTTTGTTACATTTTTCGGTAACGAGTAACGAATTTAACAATTATTTTTATCGTTACATTTTTCAAATTTACTCTATATATCTACGAATTTATAAAAAACTTAACAATAAGAAAACTTTTTAATTTATACTTACAGCATCTAAACATTTTTAAGAAAACTTGTTTACAACTTATTAAAAATTTTTCTTATTTAAAATATCTTATTATCAATTATCGAATTATAAACGATTCTCTTTTTTTTTCGAGATATAAATTCTCTACATTGTCATCTGATTTCTTATAGTGAGATTTCTTATAATTTTCTAAAAAATGTTTTAAAAATATGAATAAATAAGAAATTTTTTCTCAGAATTTTTCATAAAATAAAATTATGAAAAATTCTTAAAATTTTCTAGGAAATTATGAGATGTTTTTTCACCAGGGTGATTATTCATTTTTGCAACAGACTCAACCCCAACATCACCAAGATCATTCTATATTGGAAAGGATCAATACTGGAATGGTATCACAATTCCGATTAGATAGTCTTCATCTTGTACATCTGGGAGTCTTTAAAAGGTTGATCACAGCTTGGTGTAAATGGAATGGTTTATGGAAACTTCATAGAATTACTGTGGCTGCAATATCAAAAGCATTAGAATTTCTCTCAGATTATTGCCCTCAAGATTTTAACAGGAAGCCACGATCATTAGAAGAATTGAAATTTTTCAAAGGAACAGAATTTCGTAGATTGTACCTGCAGGTGGCGAAATGGTGAAAACTCGACAATTCGGTGAATTATAAAGTAAATATTTAAAAAATTGGTATCCGTGGGTTATTTAGGTTGCTGAACACGAATTTGACGTCAGAATTTACCTCATCAATTTACTTCTATCAACTAAAAAAATAAAGATTTGTGAATAATTAATTAGTAATAACTAATAGTGGTCTTCCACGCTACCCATGAGGTGCCACTAATAGCGCGCTAGATTTTTTTAAAGTGGATCTTCGCCTGTAGCCCTATTATACCACATTTTATTATATTCTATGTTTACAAAAGAGAGATATATAAGATAGATACAAGGATGTAAGGATGTAGATACTGTCTGTATAATAATTCACTTATGTATCCTTCACCCTTTATTTCCCATATTTCTTATTTACATTTTCTTTTAACATAAATTGTTATATTTTTTAAATTCAATAATCTCTTGTTTTTATTTTAACTTTCAGAGGTTCTATAGTACACAATGCTATGTCCGTATTAAGTTTTATTTCATCTATTTTGATATTTTTATCTAGTTTGAATTGAAACGTACGTATCAATGTTGCCAGAGTGACTTTCATAGAAATTATCGCATACTTCTGACCTGCAATTTTGTTAATTATATATTAAGCAATTTTATCATTACATTTTGTTATTTGTTTGTGCTTACCAATACAATTTCTTAGTCCGTAACTAAACGGCATGAAATATTTCGAACAATGCACCTCGTTTTCCGGGAGAAATCTATCTGGATCGAACATCAAGGGATTCGACCAATGTTTCTTATTTCGGTGCATATGTAATATGGACATCAATGTATCAGTTCCTTTAGGTAAAATAAGTTCTCCTAAAACATACATATGTTAATATTAAAATATTATTATAATAAAAATGTAATAGTGAAAAATAGTCTAAGTAAACATACGTCTTATTATTATAATGTACAATTATAGTTAATCATACCTATTTTTACGTCTTCCGTTAGAATTCGTCCAATAAGAGGAACAGCAGGAAAGAGTCTCATCGTTTCTTTAATAACTCGATTCAAATAATTCATTTGTTGCAAATCATCATATTTAATTGTTACAGATTTTGGAGAATTAGTGCCGTAAATTTCTAATAATTCTTTATACGCTTTTTCCTAGTATGAAATAAATTGAAGCAATTATGTATACTTTGTTAATTTTTATATTACTCTATACTTGTGATTAAAATTTTGTGCATTGCTTATAAAATTAATATTGCTAGCGACAACTAAAGCGTAATTCTATTTAATTATAATTCTATTTAAATTTTTATCATAAATAATATATTATATTATAATTCTATTTAATTCTATTTAAATTTTTATCATAAATAATATATTATATATAGTTACTAACTTGAAACTACATTATTTGTAAGTTTTATAATGTATTAAGCAAGTTAATAAGTTGTATTGTATTTCAATAAATTTAATGTCTACGTACCTGTACTTCTGGGAAATTTGCGAGCATAAAAATCACAAAATTTATTGTAGTGCCAGTTGTGTCAGTGGCCTACGTGAAATAAGAACCTGTTTTATCATACGTCTAAATATAGTTTGAATGTGGAAATATAAATACGTACTGCGAATAACATTGTAAATACATTATCCAAAAGTTCTTGTTGAGTTAATTTTCCTTCATGACATGCTTCCAATAGAAAGTCGAAAACTGTTATTTGAACAAATATATATAAAATACTTGCTTACTTTCTTATAAAAGTAAGTTTCCTACACATATAATTTTGAAATTTTTGCAAGAGTAATAAAAGAAGAAAAAAAAATCATTAAAAATAGCGTTTTATCAATCTATCAACAACAATTCTCTAAAAAAAACTTTTTTCATCGTTATTTAAAAAATTTTTAAATATTATAACATTGAACAAATATAAATACTTAAGTAAAACATTAACAAACTTACGAACTGTCTCACTGTTGGACTCGATTGCCATACGTTTATCGAATGCATGTCTCCTTTGCACTATCTGAGTAATTAGAAATCATATATAACATAAATGAAGGAATTCACAAACAAAGAAATTTAGGCAGAATGGTAATAAATAACATTTCAATATACCTCATTTATAAGCAAATTAAGACAATTTAGTTGTTTTTGTTGTCTCCATTTTGCTGTACTAAGATTGAATATAACATTTGGATGCAAAAATATGTTACTTAGTCTATATTTCCAAATTTCCCTTATGCTGAAACATGTTTCTTCCGTAAATCATGGCGAAAGGTTTATTTAACCGTAATCATAAAATTTTATAATCATTAAAATTTTATATTAGAAATTTAGTTCCTTTTTATTACTATAATTAAAATATTTAAAATTCTTCAAAAATATATATATCTGTTCACATATATTTTTTAAAAAGAATTATTTCTACGATATTAAATTTGATATTAATTATAAGAATTTAAATTAAATACCTCGCCGTGCATTTATACATTCGGTTTATTAATTGTGATTCCACTTTGACGCCCAATATAGTTACTATAATGTCACATAAAAAAAATAGATTAACATTCATTATAATCTGAGTACATAAACTATATTTACATAGAGAGTTGCCAATTATCCAGTTTTTGAATTAAACTGTAAACTTTTTTAAAATTTTATTCAATATTTAGTGAAAATATTAAATCAATTTTTACGCGCATTCGGTTTCATAAAAAATATAAAAGTTAACTTTAAAAATAAATAGAATAAAATTTATTAATATATTAATATAAAATTTATTATTAAATTATTCTACTTTTATTGGCACAATTTTTATGCTTATGAATTGAGATAGATCTATTTTCTTCATTTCCCAGTAATATTACCAATATTGTTTTCGTAATCTAAATATCATTGGAATAAAATAATGTTTTTTTGCACTTAAGTCTGCGTTATATACATTAAAAATATTCGTCAACTAATTTCCATTAAATCATAATTAACATTTTTATTTGATTTAATATATCTGTATTTTGTTACGAAAGGGGATATGTAAAATGATCTAGTCTAGTGTAGATAGATAGCACATGTTCATTTCATATACGTTTCCTAAACGTATCCAATGTGTTCATATGTATTAATAATGTATGTACGTTTAAAGTCTGTAGTTATGTAATTGTAAATTACGGGAAATTTCAAAATTTTTATTTTAATTTGTTTTTAGAAATTTGTAGAAATATTTACAAGAAAATATACAAGAATTGTATTTTTTACCAAATAATTCTTATCTTAAAATTGTTTTTTAATATACAAAAATAGACATTTTACAAGATAGTAAAGTTACTAATTCTTACCAAGTGAAAGGTTCAACATATGTTTATATACAAAGTCAAAAAAGATAATTTTATTTCCATCTTTTTCAACTTTTTCTAATTCGTCCATAAATGCTAATGATTGTTCTACAAATATATTAGAGTGGACTCGTAAGTTGTTTGGAGTAAAAAATTTTCCCATCAGTTTTCGATGTATTTTCCATAAAAATACTGAAATAAATAAATACAAAAAAATAATTAGAAAAAAGTTATCGATCCGTTGAGAGGGGTTCAACTGCCTACATTCCCATTTGCCAACAGCTTCGTTTGCCCACAACATTTTGCCGACAGCTTCAATTGCCGACATTCCCGATTGCCTACAGAGCGATTGCCTACAAGCATTATTGCGCACATTTAAAAATTAAAATACAAACGTACGTTTGCACACAAGACATTATTGCACACATACACATTGCACACATGATATTATTGCGCACATACACATTGCACACATGACATTATTGCGCACATACACATTGCACACATGACATTATCGCCGCGCGCTTAGACTCGTGCAAATTGGCCGATCTTCTTTAATTAATTTCTCATTAATTATTGCAAAAATTGCAAAACAGTAAAAAACTTTTCTACTCGGTTTAACCCGCTCTACCTGCAC